TCCACACTGTCCCACTTTGCAGATGTATTTGAGCTTTCAGTGCTCTGCTCAGAGGATGTGCTAGAATCAGTGCTGAATGTTTTCTGATTGATATATATACCATTCGAAGGTGACCTTTCTTCTTCTCTGTCATTCTCAGATTCTTCCGAATGATTATCAGAGCAATCATCTGACTTCAACATTTTCGTTTTGCCTTCAGTTTCTTTTGTTTCTGATTCATATAATCTCTTCCTCAACGCAAAGTTATTCACACTTGGAGGTGGATTGAACTCTATTTCGAAAACATGCTTGCCATAGAGCAACTCCAAGCGATCATTATGTTTGGCTACAAATTTCACATCCTTCTGAGTTTTAAAGCCATTAAAACCACAGGCATGTGGACCGATTTGTTGAATTGTGACGATAGCCTCCGTATAATTTGCACATAGTCGAACTGTTCATTGTAAAAAGATTAATGTATTCATTTGTGTTAACAACTTACAAAATAAAGGTATAAAACATTAGATTAAATAATCTTCAAATTTCTTTAAATTCTTCTTTACTCTAACATCTTTTCATTTAAAACAAACTAAATAAATTAAAGGTCTATAAGCCAAAGCTAAATATTTAATACTAAAATTGATAAACAATAACTCATATATAATAATAAATGTTTCAACCTATAACAGGTTATTATCAATGTTAAATAAAGTGATAATTATTGCAATATAAAAATTAAACGACAGTTAAAGATATGAAATTTAAAACAGTAAATAAACATAATGAATAAGGTAAACAGTTAAAAATTTTTCATTTTAAATCTTAATAAATCATTTAAAAGTCTCTCATATAAGAATATTTATTTAAATTCTTTATGATACTAATTATGGCAAGGCTTAAGCAAAATTATTTGCCATGCTGTAAAAATTTAATTAATTAATATTTTATCTACTTTATCATTATTTAATCAGCTGTTATAATTTGTATTTTTATGTTAATTTAAAGACAAACTTCTTGATTTTATCCTGCAAGCCTAGTGTTCCAATATTCATATTTTGAACTACTTTATTGAATACAATCAAAAAATTGAACTTAACCTCTCTGCAAACTTATTGACTTAAAAAAATCAATCTAGCATCAAGAACAAGTCAAAATTCTTGTACTATATTCGTATACAGTCAATATAATTCTCTTTTACACAAACGAAAATAATTACATAAGTTCAAGTGTCAAGTGGAGCGACTATATCTTAATTTGTAAATAATGATACGGATTAAAAGGGACTCTCAGAAGATTATGCGACCTTGTTGTCGCGAGCATTTCACGTCTGTGATGCCGGTTTCTGGCGAGCGTCCTACGAAAATTGGTGTATTGTCCGGCAGATAAACATTCGTCGGAATTCCTTCCAAGGTACGTAAATAACAACTTTTAACAGGAATGCTCATCGCGACACATCGCGAAATGCGAATGATCGCGAATTCGCGAGAGCAACGATGACAGTCAACAATCGCTAGAGGGAGACTCGTAATCAACTGGCGCGAATTTGTACGCATGCGCGATCTTATCTATGAAATAATTCCCTCACCCAGCTCGGGCTCAGTTTTTCATGCGTTGCGAATTATTTGTAAATAATTCGGGAAAAGAAAAAAAAATCACGATTTTTTATAGGGACTCAAAGCTGAACTGCGCCCATTTTTTACAAAATACTCGCCAATTTTAAAAATAAATAAATTTTATATGTATATTTACTTTATATGTATATTTACTTCTTTTGTTGGCATAAAACTTATTCTCAAACGCACTATATATCAATCAGGCCTGGGAACCAATTCTGTATTTTGAAACGAAGTGAAAATTATAAAAGTGACCAAATTTATTAGTTGACCAATGAAATTATCAGTATTCTAGTAAATTCGATCACTTTTATAATTTTCATCTCGTTAGAGATACAGAACCGATTCCCTGTTCTTTTTGGCTGAACTTTTGCACCAGTTCATCTTTCTTCCTTTTTGTCTCCAAAGTATCAATCATGAAACTTTACCCTAAAATAAAAAGTGAAAATTTTTACCATTGAAATTAATGGAGAAATTTTTCACTTTTCATTTTCCATCCTAAAGAAGTTTTTATTGATTGATATCCTAGAGGAAAGAAGAGGAAAAAAGATGAATTGATCAAAAATTCAGCCAAAAAGAATAGGCTTAATATATACACCAATGCATGCGATCCATGCGATGT